CCTCCAGAACTGAATTTCTTGTTTATAAGGAACACAGCCTATGGTATTTTTGTTATAGTGGCCCAAATGGACTAAGACATAAGACTACAGGCAGTGATGGTCCAGCAAGTGTTTTTAAGCAGAGGCATGGCCTGACTCAAGGACTCGAAGAAAGATTACTCCAGCAGCAGAGTGGAAGGTGGATGGAAGGAATGAGACTGAGATATGAGAAGACAGGTCACTAGGGAGCCCAGGTAAGAGCATGAGAGCAGGGACAGCCTGGATGGGAAGAGAGAACAAAGGTGGGAGAGGGTTCAAAGATATTGTTAATAATAAAAATAATCACTAACATCTGTTGAGTAATTGCTGTGGGTAAGGCTTTGTGCTTGGAGTTTTACATACGTTTTCGCTTTTAATCCTCAAATCAACACTATTTGGTTGGTACTGCTATTATCCCCATTTTAGAGATGAGGAAACTGAGGCTTAGTGAGGGAAATGTCATTGGAAGGACCATCTTTGAAGTTGTGAACATAGGTAGACGCAATCTTGTGATAGAATCCAAATGAAGTATCATTTAAGGATAGTAATTAAGTACAATAAAAATCTAAAATAATGCGAGTTTTGATATAATGCAGTTGGCAAATGGGGTCTTGTACTCACCCAGCCCCTGTCTTCACACAGCGAGCGCTAATATTCTCATTGGGCCATGGATGCAAAGACACCTAGTGTTGGGAAGCAGAGTGGAGGCAGGTTGGTCCCAGCATCTCCAGTGTCTCAGTGTCCTTGTACCAGGCCAGCAAAGGGTGCAAATGACTGGAAAGTCTGGAACCCCTGCTACTGTCCTGGAAATCCAGCCAGTCATAGGCTCCTATTTAATGGGCATTGCCTTCAGGTAGTATCAGACTCCAGCCTGGGCTGCAATTTGGATCCTGCAGCCATAGTCCCAAATTTAGTTGCATAGATTCACCATGAGCCCCAAACCAGCCCTTCAATAACTTTGCAATTAAGATGACCCTGCATGTTACATAACTGCATTTTTTTGACTTTACTTTTAATGTTATGTGGGGTTCTAATATGTACTATTCCTAAAGATTGGAAGAATAGGAAAAGAGTATAGAAGTTTGGCAAGTTCAAAACTCTTTACACCTAAATGGAAAGAGAGTTAAATATCTTAAGAGCAAAAAGAAATGCAAAGGAAAAATCAAGTTCTGTAGCTGCAGGAAGGGGAAAAATTAGGTAATATCACAGTGTGCAAATTGAATCTAGGGGACAAGGGCATGAGACCAGCCTTTTAGAGGGCATCAACAAAGTAAATAAAGGGACCATCAGCTAAAGTCTCAGTGATATCTGATCATTAACCAACTGTCCTTGGTTGAGAAAGTGGCCCAGGGAATAGCTGGGATTGAGATGATTGTTTCCTTTGTAGCTATGAATCTTTCAATCCTGGAAAGATAAGGAATTCAGAATAGACATGTTCAAGATATCAGTTAATACTTTTTGTTTAAGCATATGTATTGTTTAAGAAATTCAGCTTATTAAAGTTATAGTTAACTTTGTGGTTCTGATTTGAACTGTGTTAATTGAGTAATTGATTTACACTTTGATTTTAGTTGGAAATCTTAAGTATATATGAAGTATTGAATATTTTAAAACCACTTAAGAATCACCATATTTAAAACTTTAATTATTAGATTTATAAGCTCTCTTTAAGTATTTGGGGAGGCTTATTTGTTGATTAAAATACTTTAGAAGGAAATTAAATATATGACATTCAATAGTGAGGTTTGAAGTCCTTAAGGGAATCAATTTATACATTTGTAAAATGAGTCAAATATTATCAGTAGCCACTAAAAAGGGTTACTAAAAGTTTCCTGACTTGTAAATGGAACAATATGTTCGTAAGCTGAACTGGCCTTAAGGCTGACAGGTTTTTAATTTGTCTGTTCGGGTTTTTTTTAGTAAATTGAATATGAATTCTTTTTTTTTTCAAAGTATTTGTTTATTTGGCTGGGCCAGGTCTTAGTTGTGGCACACAGCGTCTTAGTTGTGGCACACAGCATCTTCGTTGCCACGTGTGGGATCTTTAGTTGCAGCATGGGGGATCTAGTTCCCTGATCAGGAATCGAACCCAGGCCCCCTGCACTGGGAGAGCGAACTCTTAACCGCTGGACCACCAGGGAAGTCCCTGAATATGAATTCTTAAAAGCAGTATAACCTACGAATGATTTTTTTAAGCACTAAAACCACCTTCAGGGAAATAAATGATAGTGGGGGAGTCTTATTTACTGGAAGGTAGTTTGCTAAGGTCACAGGGCTAGAAAGCAGCAGAGGCAGGATTCAGATCAAAAAGCTTCACACACACCCCACTGCACCCAATCCCTCCTGACGCTAAATCATTCCCATAACTTTATTTTTCTATTGATGTGACTTTCCCACTGGCCTGTGAGCAACATGCTTGCAGAAACTTCTTTTCATCTTTGAATCCCCAGTCTCAACACAGTGCCTTTGCAGCTCCCAGCAGGAGCTCATCCTATGTGTGTTGAATAATTGAGTGAGGAGAACCCAGTGAGAAGAGCAACCCGCAGCACCCTCAAGAGAGGGTTTCAAGTAAGGAGTGTTCCAATGTCAAATTCCACCAAGCGGTCATATAAGGTAAGGACCAAAGGATCTACAGGATGTGATTGACGGGAGACCGTTGGTGATGTTCTTAAAAGCAACATAGATTCTCTTCAAGTCTTGTCGGGGCACCTAGCCTCCACACACGGAAGGCCAGGGAGATACTTATCAAAGTCCAAGGAATAAGGGAGCCTTACTTCTGACTAGATTGTGACTAGTGACAGGTGACACTAGTCACAATCACATTCTCATGGAGATGTCAGAGGAGCCTGCATAGCCTAGCAAAGCCATCAGGACTCCTTGGTGTGGAGGGGAACACCAGGACTTTTCACACAACTCCCTCAACCGTACCACTAACAGGGCAAGATAGTAAAATGATATCTGGTCGTCCTTTGTGGTTGGAGGCAGAGGCGGTCCCAAAAGTCTTGTCCCCTGGATTCTTCCAGCCTTGTTTCTGTGCCTAAGAAGCTACAGCCAAGCCTGTGCCTTTCCCATTTTTGTCTCTGGGCCATTCTGGGCTCGTTCTTCTCTGCCTGTTGACTCCGTGTCTGCTTATGGACTTACCAAGCGTGTAGGAACTAAGCCCTTACTGTATGCTGATACTGAGCTAGTCACTGGGAACTGAAAGGTGAAAAAAGTAGACCTTACCTTCAAAGGGCTGAGAGACTACTAGGAAATGTATGCAAGTAAGCAGTTGTTTATGGTAGAGCAGGATGGGTGTTACCATAGAGGCTAGTAGGGGGAAACTGAGAGGCCCAGAAGAGGGCAACTGTTCTAGTGTGGCATTTCAGGCGAAGCCTTTCTCAAGGTGGTGATGACTTTAGTCGGGGAACAAGAGGATATTAGAGGGAGGCAGGTGAGCCAGGTGGCAGGGACTAGGGCGGTCCAGTAAGCCAAATTGCAGGAGTCAATTTACAAGAGTGAGAAATCATAAGGTATGTGAGGTGGGAGTCCAGGCGTGAGGCTCAGGGACACCATGAGGCCGAGCTCATGTAGGGAAGCCAGCAGATCCTGAAGGATTTCATCTGTCAGGACTGTGACCCTGGACTTTACGTTGTAGGGGGTGGGGGACCTTAGAAGGATTTAAAGCAAGGCTGCGACAGCGTCAGCTTTGGCTTTTAAATAGCTCACTCTGCTGCCTCTCACACTTCTTTCTTTCATATCCCCTTATTTTCATAGCATGTGACTCAAAAACTACATGTGATTAAAGCAGTGAAGTCTAAAAATGGGAAATGTTTGTGGGCTGATATTTACATGCACACAGTCCATCAGCTGCCGTGAGGCAGGCCAGTCTGCTGCATATTGTGGGCCTTTCTCTACTGTGGCCCTTGCTCCTCCTAGGTCTTCTCACTGGTAAGTCTGTCCTTGCCACTGCCTCCCAGGCACCTCTATCTGCCTGCATGTTGGGTTTCTCCAGCAATGGGTCATTTTCACTGAAGATGCTGCCTCACTGGGAGCCAGACTCTGTGTGTGTGTGTGTGTGTGTGTGTGTGTGTGTGTGTGTGTGAGGTGTGTGTGCGTATGAGGGGGTGTGTGTGCTATCATCTCAGACCATGCAAACCCAGATTGTGTCCTGTCACTTTCACACTTCTTCTGCTAGTGAGTCACAAGGACCCTGGAAGTCCCCAGACAGACCGATGGTGGAGGCATGAGATAGGAGATCCGCCACAGCCAGTTTCAGGACCTCATCTGCATCTTGCCATTTCAAGCATGATCCTCTTATGCTCTCTCCCCCAAGCCTCTGAGAGTCACCCTTATTGTGAATTGGGCTTTCCTGTCGCATAAATGACTCCAGTAGGGGATCTCAAACCTGGCACCCTGTGGCTGTTCCTGTCCCTCTGGGTTCTTACTGCTCACTCACATGGCCCCAAGGACCTGGGTGGTGGCAGGAAACAGGCTGGAGAACTGGAGGCCAGAGGAACAGAGCTCTTAAGAAATCCATGGGGAGGGGCCAGGTTCTGCTCTTAGCTTCCAGGGTTTCCGTCTTTTGCTTTCATCCTCATTTAGGAGGAAACCAGCTTGCACTGGTTATCAGGGTCACATGTTTTCAGGGTGGCCACCACCCCAGCCTTTAGGGTGTCCCCTAAGCCTGCTGTAGAATCCTTTAAATGTGTTTAAAACTTGGCAGTTTATAAAGAACTTTTACTCAAATTTAAAATAATCCGATCCCCGGCTTCCCTGGTGGCGCAGTGGTTAAGAATCCACCTGCCGATGCAGGGGACAGAGGTTCGAGCCCTGGTCCGGGAAGATCCCACATGCCGCGGAGCAACTAGGCCCATGTGCCATGACTACTGAAGCCCACGCACCTAGAGCCCGTGCTCCACAACAAAAGGAGTCACCACAGTGAGAAGCCCGCGCACCGCAACGAAGAGCAGCCCCCGCTCACTGCAACTAGAGAAAGCCCGCGCGCAGCAACGAAGACCCTACTCAGTCAAATATAAAAAATTAAATAAATAAATTTATTAAAGAAAGAAAGAAATTAAATAATCTGATTCCTCCAACAATCTTGTGATATAGATAAGGCAGGTAGTATTAAGCATATTTTACAGACGGTGGACTGAGAGATTAGGTGACATCTTCCGGCACACAGCTGGTGATCTGTGAGAATGGAAGTCAGCACGGCCCAGCTGTGGGAATGCAGCAGCAGCAAGGAAACTCAGAGAGCCACAGTGTCCCCAACCAAAGTCACAGAATTGAAACTCAGACGCCGGATTCCTGGAAGCTTCCCCTTGCCTCCACTTTCATAACCCTCCATGAAGCAACAAGCACATCTGTGAGCTTCCCTTCCTCTGTGGCGTCCAGGCCAGGCCCTTGGAGGTCACTGTTCACAGGGGCATCCCTAGGGCACGTGGCAAAAGAATGGGTGAGACAGGTCCTGCCTTAAAAAATGTTCATATTTCTTCGGTTCAATTCCAGAAACATTTATTGAGGCCTCTTGTGCGCTGGTCCTGTGCTGTGTGTGTGTGGTGGGGAACGGGGTCAGTGGCACACAGGGAGGAATTAGGTGTGGTGCAATTCTGCTGCTGGCAGCGCAGTGTAGTCAACAGAGCATAAGCTTCGGGGTCAGGCGAACTTGGGTTTCATGTGACCTCTATTGCTTCCTAGCTGGTGACTCTGGGCAAGTAATTTTCTTAAGCTCTTTGAGTCTCATGGTCTTCATCTGTGAAGTGGGAATAAAAATACGGACCTTACTAGTTTGCTGGGAAAGTTAGATAAAATAATGTGCTTAACGTCCTCAGCAGTGTCTGGCACTGGCGTTTCATGTACTGATCTGATCCCTTTGTGTCTCTTTCCCTCATTGAATCCAGAAACAGGATTCAGAAAGGGAAGCTCTACACACATCCCACTGCACCTAACCACGTGGCTAAACCATCAGCCTTACTTTACTTTATTGCTCAGATACTAATTCCCTTCTACCTTCTCCTGTCCTTGGGGAGCTCATGAACTATGGGGAAACACAAACAACCCAGCTAGTTGTATGAGGCAGAATGAAGTAAAAGCTTTAAACAAAACAAGCCAACAAAAGCACAGGCTGAAGGAAACTAGGAGGAAAGCATGGCCAGACCGGAAGTATGGAGCTCAGCTAAGGCTCCAGAAAGGAAGTAGCACTTGAACTAGGCTTAACGAGTTACTGCGCTCAAGGGTGCAAGGGTGACCATAGCTGCTTGGTCAAGGTGGAATTCCTCCGGGCCAGACTTTAGGTCCTGGGCCAACTTGGGATGAGAAAGATCCATCTGGTGCTAGCATTGCCTTGGCATGCTTCCAGCCGATTTGTACCATCCTCCAAGTGGAGCCAGAAGAGCTCCATGGAAGAAATGAACGCCAGGCCGTCAAGTGGATTCTGTGGTGGGCACCCAGGATGTTGTACGTCCCCACAGTGTGGAATCCCCACTCCCACAAGACAGCAACCACACCCCTACCCCTCGTCACCACAGCTACTATCACAGGACTTCTCAGTTCCACTTTCAGCAGAAAAACCTCACCACCAGGCCTAGGAATCAGTGATGCGGCCAGTGCATCTAGATTCCAGTTTGAATCAGGACCTGCATCCCTCCCCGGGCCAGGCAGCCTTTTCTCTTTAAACAGCTATGCAGCAGACCTGAGTCAGTTTCAGACTTTCTGCCTCCTGGGACTGTGTCGGTGTTGCAAAAATAGAGGTGGGTCGCACTACTTAGGAGTGTTTTTTTTTACATTTCCCTGCAAGAGCACTGACTAGTTTTGGTAAGGATGCAAACAAGATGCAGTCACCAACTTATTTCAGGGACGTTAAGTGTCTTTAATAATACCATAGTGAGGCATTTCCTTGCATTATCTCATTTAACACTCACAAAATCCTGGAAGATGGTACTCCCTGTTTCACAGGTGAGAAAACCAGGACTCAGAGAGGTTAAGTAACCTGCCAAAGATCACACAGCTAGCACCTGGTAGAGCAATGGCTTGAACTTGGGCAGTCTGACTAGTGCCCTGGTGTTACACTCTTCTCTCAAGGGCAGTATAGGCTGGTATCCAAATGACTGTCCCACTGACCGTGCTTAACCTGGCTTGGCACAGCACCATACCCCCTGCTCTGGAAAGATATGTTCCCAGATTCCTGGCTGGGCCTCAGAGGAGCTGGCTTTTGTTTCAGAAGTGGCCAAATAAGCAATTATGGGGGATGCTGGAAAGCAGTTCCTGCTGTGGATGCAGCTGGGCTAAGTGAGTTCTGGTCCTATTCCCTGAATGGGCAAGAGAGTGACTCACAGAAACAGCGGAGATCACCGCCCCCACAGGCCCCTCCCAAGAATTTTGCTTACTCTCCATGACACTTAGTACCTGCAACCCTTAGGACAGCCTTCATTGATTATTTCCTTATATGTTAATTAATGTAAATGCTGAAGGAGACCACTTTGGTGTGGAGGAGTGACCAAGTTGTGTTCTAGTTCTATCCCTATAACTAGCTATGTAGTCTTGAGCAAGGCATCTAAATTCTGTGGATCTCTGTTTTCTCACCTATAAAATAGGAATAATAATCATGGCCCTGACTCTCTCTCAGGCCTGTTGTGAGCCTCCAATGTAATAGGCTGCCTCTGAAGCCTCTGTTCTGTGTTTGCAGGACCAGGGGCTTCCAGAGAGGACTCAGCCCCCACGGTGGTAACTGGGACCCTAGGGGGGTCTGTCATTTTGCCCCTGCAGCTGCAGGATGGACAGCAGGTGGAGAACATCTACTGGATGTGTCGTTTGGTGTCCGGGGTAATAGCCACGGTAACCTTGGTAGAAGCTGGAGGGCCAGACACCTTTTACCAGGCAGAAACGCAGTACTGGGGTCGTTTGAGTGTGATGGGCCCAGGCTGCTCCCTGCAGATCAGCCACCTGAGCTGGGAGGGTGCAGGGTCCTACCGAGCCCACGTTAATCTGTGGAGTTCCCGCATCACCCACGCCTGGGAGTACAGCCTGCACGTCTATGGTGAGTGTCTGGGGAACGGCAACAGGTGGGTGTGTGTGGTGACTGTTTTTCAGACATTTTTATAGCCTTTCCCACTTTGGTTACATTTATAATTTTCTTTCTAATTAAAAGGCTAACACGTGCTCACTGGGGAAAAACATGGAAAATAGAGTTACCTGGGAGAATACCCTGAAAAATCTCGGGGCCCAGGACGTGTCCCAGACCAGTTGCAGCAGAACCGCTGGGTCTGGGCAGAGAATGGTATTTCAGGCCCTGAGAACTGGCTTCTGCCACAACCTACTTGTGTGGCCTTGAGCTTTCTCCTTGCTAAAATAGGAACACTACCTTCTGTGAGAATGAAATTCATGGGAAAGAACTTTGTAAAGCTCTGTACAGATGTACGAGAACACTATTATCATATTCATTTAAGGAAATTTAAACGACTGTTTTAGCAGGGGAAACTACAAAGGGGACAAGGAGTCGGGGGCGGGGGGTGTCAGGCATACGCAGCAGCAAGATCGGCCAGTGAATTCACAGTCAAGTACTTTTAGATTCAAACAGCTTATTACTTATATAGGTAGTGAGAGGGAGAGGGGCCAAAGGTCCTCATCCCACGCCCCAGAAATGATGACACTGAGAAAAAAGGAACCGGATGAACATAACGGGGGTTGCTGAGAAACAAATTCTAGACTGCAGAGAAAAGGTTTCGTAGTCAGCAGCTCTGTTCTGCGAGGGTGGAGCAGGAAGCCCTGAACCCCATGACAAACTGCTCATGACAGCCTCCCAGGAGGGACCGGTGGGAGTCCTGTGGGAGATGGCTTCAAGGTAATTCTTCACAAGCCACCCTCCTGTCGTGTTCTGGGAGGATCACAAGGCCTTTTGCAAGACTCGGATTAGCCGTGATTCTAGTCTTTGCTTGAGGAACAAGGAGGCCATGGATGGCAAGTTCACCAGGCAAGGTCACCATGATGCCATGGCAGAGCTGTTCCTCTACAGTGGGTCGCAGGAAAGGTACCAATGAGGAGTGAGGATGAACACAGGAAGCTAAGTGATGGAGAGAAAGTGGATATCCTTCTCAGACATCTTCCTGGTCTGTGTGACAGGAAATATTCCTATTAGGTGAAGGCATTTTTTTTTTTTTAAGTCGGGGATGATGGAATTGCCAAGGTCAGGTTCACATGGTTGGGGAGAAAGCATTTCTGCCATAAACTGGCCTGCAATGGCTGTGGCCCATTCCTCAGACAGGGTGAGGGAACACTGGGTGAGGGGCTGCTGGGACCTGGGGTAGGACTGTTCACCCCAGGGGTGGTGGGAGAGCCCTCGCACTATGCTGATGGTCATTCTGGCAAGATGAGCTCAGTGCGCGTTCTGGGCAGGATATAAAGCTGTGCAAACCAATCAGAGAGGGCTCCTGGGGCAAGAGTGATGATAAGGGGCCAGGCTTTCATCCTTCACAGGGTATTTCCCAAGTCAGTGGCGGTTCGTGACAGCCTTGCTAACAGGCAGGAAAGGGGTTTTGATTTCTAGGCTAAGGAGACTGAGTCTCAGAGAGAAAAAAATGACATACCCGTGACAGAGAGCTAGAAAGATGCAGAGAGCTGGGAATAGAACTCAGGTACCCCAATGCCACACCCTGGATTTCTCATATGTCCCTGTATTTATCTTCCTGAGCTTGAGAGGACACTGAAGAGACAAGGGCCTGCAGGAGGGGTCGCAGGGGAAGGGTTTGGATCCCAGGGCCTGGTCTATGGAAGACACACTGGAGTGAGGCAGCAGAAAGTTACCCAGCAGTGGACATGTCCAGCTTGCCTTCTCCTGGGGGACATTCCGGGCTGTGTTGTCCTATTTTGCACAGTTGAGTTGCCCCTGGGGCTACTGTCAGGTGGACCCCAGGGCAGAGGCCCAATAGCAGAGCAGTCTTCTCCCAAGCCTTGTGACTTTGTTGCCTGTCCTGATTGTCTGTTGTCTGCAACTGCTCTTGCTGCTGCCCTCAAACCGTCCTGATTCTGGCCTGGGGAGGCAGGTGGGCAAATAACGAGACTCTGGATACATTAAGGAGAGCATCTGGGTGCCTGGTCCCGGGATGAGAAGGGATGGAGTGGAGGTGGAAGGGAATGCAAGGACGTAGGAGAAACCTCAAAGGCATAGGGCCGCCTCCTCTGGGAGCCTGGTTCATCATCTGGAAGCTCAGTGTATACTGCAGAGCGCCCTACTGGAGGAAGATGTAATTACAACACGGTTCCTTGTTTGCCCGTACAGACAGCCTTCATCTACTCAGGGCAGGGTAGGAATTCAGCTTTGAGGTCAGATCCATTGGATTTAGGATCGATGAGACTCTGGGCAAGTAACTTAATAGAGTAGATATAACACCTTCCCTACCTACTTCATAAGATTGTTCTGGGAATCTGAGGAGATATTAAGTGACATGCCTTATAAAGCCCAAAGCTTGAGAATAGACGTGGCCAGCTTCTGCCTCTGTTGTTCCTTCTGTATATTCAGGGTGGCGCAGGGTCTTGGCAGCCACGCCTCCTGCTTCTGCCCTGTGAAGGGAAGGTCCAGAGCAGTTTTCCAGTCTTCCGTTGGTTCTTTGTTGCACACAAAGAGCAGCTGGCCCGGCCCCGTGTCACAATGAGCTCTAGGATGAGTGGGAATGGACACTGCCTCGTCATCCTAACATGCATGGCAGAAAGCAGAGGAGGCACTGTGACCTGCAGCTGGACACCCCTGGGGCCCCGGACTGTTGTGTCCCACGGAGGGTCTGTCCTCAGTGTCTCCTTGAGACCTGGGAACAGTGCTCTGAACCTTACCTCTGTGGTCAAGAACCCAGTTGGTAACAACAGCTCCCTCCCTGTCTTGGTGCCGCCCTCATGCACAGGTACCTGAAACCCAAGCACACACCCTGCTTGGCAGCTCTAGAGTGGACGGAAGCTGGAGGAAGGAGTCTTGTCCCCTTCAGGCCCCGAGGAGAGGGGTGAACACCCTTGAGAGAGTGGGGGGGCCAGGGTTGGTCTGTGTGGTCAGGGGAGAGGAAGGAGACCCGCTGGACCTGATGGGGAGGCTGGAGTGGTCTGGGCAGGAGGGGCTGGATGGGACCTATGGCTGCCCCAAGTGGCCAGGGAGACTCTGACGCTGAAGCTGTGGTTTTCTCTCTCCATCTGCAGGACCAGGAATCCTGGGAGGGGAATCAGTAGGGGAGATAGTGATCAGCACCCTTGGGAAGTCGGCCCCTCTGCCTCTGGAAGTCCTGGTGGGGCAGGAGGTTGAAAAGGTTACCTGGAGCTCTCCAGGGCTTGTGGCTATTTTGCAACCAGGACGGGCAGGCAAACCAATCCTTGTTGCTGGGATGCAGGGACCCAAGAGCAGGAGAGTGAGTGTCCTCCGCCACAACTACCCTCTTCAGATCAGCTCCCTGAGGCTGCAGGACTCTGGCTCCTATAAAGCCTGGATAACTCTGCAGAGTCCTCCGATCAACAACACCAAGGATTTCACCCTGCGCGGCTGTGGTGGGGGTGGGGGGTAGAGGGCCTACGTTTGAACTCTGACCTTTCTTCTCCTCTGCTTGGCCAAGCCAGAGCCTTCTTACAGCTTGAACTATCTCTTCTTGGAACAGAGAGTCTGCAAGAGCCCAATATCACGGCCAGCTCTCAGATCATGAAGGATGGGACCTGCTTCATCACCCTGGCTTGCTGGATGGACCAGGCTGGAGAGGATGTTAAGTAGAGCTGGGACCCCCAAGACCAGGGGGCAGTTGCGTCTCACAGGCGGACCACTCTCAGCGTGTCCTGGAGATCTGGGGTCAGTGACAGGTATCGCTGTACTGCCAAGAACCCCATCAGCCAGAGCTCCAGCTCCATCCCTGTCAGGCCCCTCTGCTCAGGTAATCGCTTCCTTCTGAGAACCTTTCACTGCAGACTCGGTCCAGATTCACAGCATCCCTGCCTGCCTTCCTCAGGGTTCTAGGAGTGGTTAAAGAAAAATAGGGCAGGATTAGTTTGCAGGAGGGAGCATCTCTGGGGTGGCAGGAGATGAGGGTTCTGGCACTACCATCCCACTCTGCCCACCTTCTGTTGGCCCCAGACCCCCATGCCTGGACTTGCAGCAGACTCAGCTGGGTATTGGCTCATTCCCGGCACTCCCTGAGGGAAGGTGCTTCCCCCATCCTCACTCAGTCCCGCAGAGCCCACCGAGGAGGGGTCCCAGACCTCCTTGCTTGTGTCCTCAGAGAAGCCTCAGCCCCTACTCCTGCCTAGAGCTGCTCCGAGAGGGTAACAGGGCTGTGCTCCTCCGGTGGGCAAGGGTGGCCTCTCCTGGGTTCCACAGGCCATGACAGGAAACTGCCTCGGTCCAAACACACCTGTTCCTCTCCTCTTCTCCACTGACCTCTGAAACAGTTGTCTCTGCTCCCTGTCTCTGGTTCCTCACCAGCCATTCACTCCTCAACCCCTTGTGGCTGGTTTGCCCCAGTAGCATCCTGATAGGTAAGCTCAGGGGCTACTCCTCAATTCTGTTACCCTCGACCTGCTCTCCTCAGCCACATGGGCTGCTCTCTCCTGGACCTCTTCTCTCGGGTCACAGTCCTTCCCAGGACTGATGTTGCCCCATGCCCATGCCTCTCCCCACATCCCTTGTTTTCTTCCTGTTGCCAAAGGCAGAAAGCTGGTTATTTAGAGCCCTTGTCTTCCTCACGCTACCAGCCATTGCTCACACCTTCCTCACTTCACGTATTCCTCACCTGGTCTCCTAACTCCCCTCCCCTCCCAATCATCCTCCTGACTGTGCTGCTAGGGGGTTAATTCTAAATGAAAGCCATGCTTATGTTTCTTTTCGCTTAAAACCCTATGATGTCTGCCCACTATCTAAGGTATAAATATTTTTGCACCTCTTTCTTCATTAAGCAACATGCATTTACAGAGCATTTTTAAGGCACCCAGTGTTGTTCTAGTCATTGAAGGTACAGTGAAGAAGAGGTCTGGATATATTCCCACCCCTTGGGGAACTCACCGTTACAATCATCACGATCTGCGGCTAACCCTAGTAAATGACTTTAGGAGAGCACTGAGCGTGCTGTATAATGGCCTTTGTGCATGTGTCTGTGTTCTCCACGGAACCATGACAAAGCCCATGCTTACCCTTCTCTGCATCTCCAATACACAGCATGTAATAATAGGTGTCTGAAGTGTGAATCTGACAAGATTTTAAGGGGCAGCCTAGGCTGGGTGTAATGGGACACAAGGAAACAGGATAATTGGCTTCAGACATTAACATTCTCCCTCCTTCTCTATGGGGCCTGGAGAACATTTCAGCTCCATCCCCAGATCCAGCTTCCTCAAGGGATCTCCAGCCCACTCACACCTCTGACTTTTCTTCCTGGAATACTCCTTTCCCTGTTTCCCTGTCTTCCCATTTCTTTTCTTCTCTTCCTTTTACCCAATTCCCAACCTGTGATCATTGTTTATTCAGGTTCCTTCCTACTCTGCTCCTTGAGGAAAGAGTTTCTTCTCTTTTTGATCCTGGGAGCTTTGCAGATTAAATAGATTTCACCTTGACCTGTGGAGAAGCCAAGAGGAAGAATGTGAGAAGAGGGTCACCCTGTGAGACACAGAGATAAGGAAGTCTACACAGAGAGAGAGGAGTGTGACCTGATACCAGCATCTCCTGGTGTGAGTGAGAGAGAGACGTCGATTCTGATTAAGTGGAAAACTGATTTCTTTTGCAAACCGAGTTCAAAACAAGCAAGAAACTGCTACATATCTTCAGTTTAAAATAATCTGTTTATGTCTTAACTGTTTTAAAGTGTTCAGAAAGAAAAGAGGGCTTATTCACATAAGAAAAATTGAATGGTTTGAAGCATAGTTAATATATAATGATAATATGTAATTAACAAAACTATTAAATTTTGTGCATATACATTATTTTTTGTTAAAATTTAAGTAAATGGGCTCAGAGGACCCAGATTCAACTTAAATTTCATCTCCTTGGAGCAGCCTTTGACCACCTTATTGAAGCAGGTCTTACTTATTCATAGTCATTGTACCCAGTTCAGTTTTGTCAAATTATCACAATTTGTAAATATATATTTATTTGTTAGTTGTCGTGGTCTGAACGAGGGTTGGAAAATAATTTCTAGACACAAGGCAGAATGTAAAGAAGATAGAATTTATTGGAGGGCAGGGTCGCTGCCAGAACAGCGTGTTGACTTCCTAGTAGTCTGGGACACTCAAGCCAGAACGTGTGCTACTGCTCAGTTTTTATAGCCAGAACACAAAAGAATGGTCCAAGGTGAAAATTTCATTTACTGATTGGTCAAGGCACATATACCTTCCTTCTATAGAGTGGGAGTGGGACAGGACATATGCCTTTCCTTAGTTGGGACAGGTCCTGTTTCCCAGGTGAGCATTGCCCAGGTGGGCTCAGGAATTTTGTAACCATTACAACATGGTGGGGAGGGCAATTAAGAGTCCAGTAGGGGGTGTAACGCTGACACCTTTTCAGGCAACGTCGTCCTTTATCCTTGAAGCATCATTGTCCTTGGAGCACCACATTAGTTTACTTGTTTATTGTCTCTCTCCCCCACAAGACATTCAGCCCATGAGGACAAGAACTGTATCTATTTTGTTTACAACTGTAAACCCAAAGGGTAATAGAGTTCTTGGCTTGTGGTAGATATTTCAATATTTTTTTTAATGCATGAATAACTAGTTGGATTAGAGTTGAGAACATTCTTTTTAAGATTTGAAGACTATCAGAAAGTTTCGTAAAAATCTGGGACCTATACCATTGTGTGTGTGTGTTTTTCTTTCTGCTTTCGATAAAGGAAGAAGAAAATGGGATCTTTAGCTTAAAATTTCCTTGAGTGCTCAACAGCTAGCAAAAGAAAGAAGTTAAAATAAGAAGAAAGTCTCTCCTACGAGGTTCTGACAGGAAGCTGCTCTGAAGTGCTAAATAGTTTATCTAGAGTTTGAACCATATATAAACAATGGAGCCAAAATCATAATTTAGGTGTGAGAGAGGACTTGAACATCTCCTTCTCTTTTTTCACTCTCAGCTGATTACCTTGGTTCCTATTTCACTTACAATGAGGATTGACAAACTCCACCCATTACACACAAATCTTCTAGCCAAGTAGTTAGTGATTTATTCTGAAATGTAAATGGGGTGCTGGAATCACAAGATATTTGAGGAAAACCTCAGTTGAGAAAGACAGCCTCCAAACAAACAGAATCAATTAGAAAAAAAAAAAAAAGGAACCTGGAAGAGAGATAATGCAGGGAGCAAGAGAAAATGAAATAAAAGCCTCTAAACCTGTATTTAATATTCTTAGAAACACATGAGAAAACATTACATTTTTAAAAAGGAGTGGGGAGCTTCTCAAGATGACAAAGGAGTAAGACGTGGCAATCACCTTCTCCCCACAGATATATCAAAAATACATCTATATGTGGAACAACTCCCACAGAACCTCCATTGAAAGCTGGCAAAAGGCCTCAGACTTCCAAAAAGGCAAGAAAATCTCCATGTAACCAGGTAGGGCAAAGGAAAAAAGAAAACAAAAAGAGACAAAGGAATAGGGATATGACCTGCACCTTTGGGAGGGAGCTGTGAAGGAGGAAGAGTCTCCACTCACTAGGAAGTGCCCTCACTGGTGGGGATTGGTGGGGAGCTTCAGAGCCTCAGAAGAGAGCACAGCAACAGGTATGTGGAGGGCAAAGCAGAGAGACTCCTGCACAGAGGGTCAGTGCTGACCAGCACTCCCCAGCCTGAGACGCTTGTCTGCTCGCCCGCTGGGGTGGGTGGTGGCTGAATGCTGAGGCTCGGGCTTCGGAGGTCTGAGGTTGGCTGTGTGAAGACAGCCTGAGGGGGCTTAATGCACCACAGCTGAGGGAGTCTGGGAAGAAACCTGGGCCTGCCAGAGAGGCAAGAGACCACTGTTTGGGGGTGCGCAAGGAGAGGAGCAGGCCTGCCATAGGAGCTTCTATCTCTGTGCACTCACAGGTGGCAGGGCACAACCTACACAAGCTCCAGAGGCAGGAGTGAGCTGCGGCTGCTATCTTGGACCCCAGAGGCAGGTCTGCTGCTGCCCCTACCACCAAAGGTCCTGTGAGCAAGAGCAGGTCACTGCCCACACCTTTCCAGGAGCCTGCACAGCCCGCCACTGCCGAGGGCCCTGCGATCTGGGGCCAAATTCCCCAGGAGAGCTTACAGCACGCCTCAGGCTGTTGCAACTTCCTGCTGGTCTCTGCCGCCCCAGGCAGTCCTCACACATCCCAGTTGTGACTGCCGTATCCCTTCCTCTCCCTGGCCTGAGTGAGCAAGTGAGCCCTAATCAGCCTCTGCTTTCGACCCTTCTTGCCTGGGCGGGGAACAGATGCCTGAGGGTGGCCCACAAGCAGAGGTGGGGCCAAAACCAAAGTAAAGCCCCAGGGGCAGTGCAACCAAAGAGGAAGGGAAATCTCTCTGTGCAGCCTCAGGAGCAGCTGATTAAATCCCTGCAATCTGCTTGGTAAACCTTGCACCTACAGAATATCTGAATAGACAAGTGTTCCCACAATTAAGGCTGTGGACTTTGTAGGTAACTGTGGACTTTGGAGGCAAGGACACACAGGAGTTGGGACAGTTCAGAGTCTGAGCTGGCCCCAAAGTGCCTACAGCTGGTCCAGAGAACTACCTAGAGATTTTGGAGGACTTCAGGTGGAGGCAGGGATTCACTGTGGCTCACTGAGGGGGCAAGGACACTGACAGCTGAAGCCTCAGGAAAATGTTATCATTTTTACAATTATTTTTGTTGTTTTTGGGTTTTTTCTGTCATTGCCCTTTTTCTTATTCCTTTATTTTTTTACATATTTTTCTTTTATTTTTTATGCTTTTATTTTTAATATATTCTAAATTTTTTCTATTTTTACTTTACTTTTTTGTTATATTGTGTTTTTTCCTTGTTTTTTTCTTTGTTTGGCTTTGATTTTATCTTTTTTAAACTATATTTTCCATTTTTACTTTACTTTTGTGTTTTTTCCTTTTATTTTCTTATTTCTTTTATTTTGTTTTTATTTTTTTGATCATTTTTGTGTGTTTGTTTTATACTTTTTTGCCTTTTTTTTACTTTACTTTCTGCTTTTGATTTGTTTTTTGTCTTTGTTAATTTCATTTTTATTGTTTGTTTTCATTTTCAGGTTCATTTACTGTTTGGTTGCTCTCTGCTTTTCAGTTCTCTCTCTTTACCTTTATTTTCTGTTTTTGTGTGTCTGTGTGTTTCTTTGTGTGTTTTTGTCCGTTTGGTTTTGCTTTTACCATTTGACTTGGGGTTTTGTTTGTCTGTTCGTTTTCTCTCTTTCTTCCTTTTTTTTCTTCCAAGCCACGTGGCTTGTGGAATCTTAGTTCTCTGGCCAGGCTTTGGGCCTGAACCTCTGAGGTGGGAGAGCCAAGTCCAGGACGCTGGACCGCCAGAGAACCCCTGGTCCCAGGGAATATTAATCAGTGAGAGCTCTCCCAGAGGTCTCCATCTCAGCACTAAAACCCGGCTCCACCCAAGGGGCAGCAAGCTCCAGTGCTGGACGCCTCACACCAAACAACTAGCAAGACAGGAACACAATCCCACCCATTAGCAGTCAGGATGCCTAAAACCATACTAAGCTCACAGACACCCCAAAACACACAACCTGATGCGGCCCTGTCCATCAGAGGGACAAGATCCAGCTCCACCCACCAGAACAGAGACACCAGTCCCCCCACCTGGAAGCCTACACAAGCCACCGGACCAGCCTCACCCACTGGAGGCAGACACCAGAAGAAAGAGGAACTATGACCCAGCAGCCTGCAGAAAGGAGACCCCAAACACAACAAGTTAAACAAAATGAGAAGACAGAGAAATATGTTGCAGACAAAGGAACAAGGTAAAACCCCACAAGATCAGATAAGTGAAGAGCAAATAGATAATCTACCTGAAAAAGCATTCAGAATAATGATAGTAAAGATGATCCAAAATATCAGAAATAGAGTGGAGAAAATACAAAAAATGTTTAACAAGGACCTAGAAGAACTAAAGAACAAACAAACAGTGATGAACAACACAATAACTGAAATTAAAAATACTCTAGAAGGAATCAATAGCAGAATAACTGAGGCAGAAGAATGGATAAGTGAGCTGGGAGGTAGAATGGTAGAAATAATTGCCATGGAGCAGAATAAAGATAAAAGAATGAAAAGAATTGGGGACAGTCTCAGAGACCTCTGGGAGAGCATTAAACACACCGATATTCAAATTATAGGGGTCCCAGAAGAAGAAGAGAGAGAGAGAGGGTCTGAGAAAATATTTGAAGAGATTATAGTTGAAAACTTCCCTAGCATGGAAAAGGAAATAATCAATCAAGTCCAGGAAGCGCAGAGAGTCACATACAGGATAAACTCAAGGAGAAACAGGCTGAGACACATATTAATCACACTAACAAAAATTAAATAAAAAGAAAAAATATTAAAAGCAGCAACAAATAACATACAAGGGAATCCCCATAAAGTTATTAACAGATTTTTCAGCAGAAACTCTGCAGGCCAGAGGGGAGTGGCAGGATATATTTAAATTGATGAAAGAGAAAAACCTACAACCAAGATTACTCTACCCAACAAGGCTCTCATTCAGATTTAACAGAGAAAACAAAAGCTTTACAGAAGGCAAAAACTAAGAGAATTCAGCACCACAAAACCAGCTCTACAACAAATGCTAAAGGAACTTCCCTAAGTTGGAAACACAAGAGAAGAAAAAGACCTACAAAAACAAACCCAAAACAATTTAGAAAATGGTAATAGGAACATACATATTGATAATTACCTTAAATGTAAATGGACTAAATGCTCCAACCAAAAGACACAGACTGGCTGAATGGACAAAAAAAACAAGACCCATATATATGCTGTCTACAAGAGGTCCACTTCAGACCTAGGGACACATACAGACTGAAAGTGAGGGGATGGAAAATGATATTCCATGCAAAAAAAAAAAAAAAAAAAAGGCTGAAAAAGCAAAACTTATATCAGACAAAATAGACTTTAAAATAAAGACTGTTATAAGAGACAAGGAAGGACACTACATAATGATCAAGGGATCAATCCAAGAAGAAGATAAAACAGTTATAAATATATATGCACCCAACATAGGAGCACCTCAAAACATAAGGCAAATGCTAACAGCCATAAAAGGGGAAATCAACAGTAACACAATAATAGTGGGGGACTTTAACGCCCCCACTAACACGAATGGACAGATCATCCAGACAGAAAATAAATAAGGAAACACAAGCTTTAATTGACACAATAGACCAGATAGATTTAATTGATATTTAGAGGATATTCCATCCAAAAGCAACAGAATACATTTTCTTCTCAAGTGCTCATGAAACATTCACCAGGATAGATCATATCTTGGGTCATAAATCAAGCCTTGGTTAATTTATGAAAATTGAAATTGTATCAAGTATCTTTTCTGACTACAACACTGTGAGACTAGATATCAATTACTGGAAAAAATGTGAAAAAATACAAACACATGGACGCTAAATAATATGCTACTAAATAACCAAGAGATCACGGAAGAAATCAGAGGAAATCAAAAAATACCTAGAAACAAATGACAATGAAAACACAATGACCCAAAACATATGAGATGCAGCAAAATCAGTTCTAAGAGGGAAGTTTATAGCAGTACAATCCTACCTCAAGAAACAAGAAAAATCTCAAATAAACAACCTAACCTTACACCTAAAGCAATTAGATAAAGAAGAGCAAAC